ATGGACAGAGACAGAGATCCTTGCTTATAGATATAGATATATATTTCTTTGCCCTCCCCCCCTTTCCCCGCTGGCGCCCCGGGCGATCGCCCACCCCTAGAAACGGCCTTTGGACAGACTCGTAGGCCTACACCGATCCTGACCGCCCCATCCGCATCGAGGAACTTCTCGGCCCATCTGGCCGAGAAACCTTATGCCTTAGCCCGAGGTGCGAGGCCTTTCACCTATGCCTTGGGTTATTGGTGAAGAGAAGGACGTGAGTTGACATGTACCGGTACGTTTGCAGATGCGGATGGGTTATATTAATTTTTTTATTGAAGGGAAACGGTAGGAAGATTTTCCATTGACATTTCGATTTAGAGGGGCTATGTCTAATTCACTTACGGACGCTTAGGCCAATGCTATTTCTATATGCACACTTCAACGAAACGGGAAGGAATAACTACGGGCAGCATTTGCGGAATGACGCGTTCTTTCGTGGACAACCGTATGGAACCTTTAGAAGAGTTTGAAAAAGGGACTTCCGTAGAGTCCTTGAGCCCGAATGTATATATTAATATTACTATAAATTTACCTATAGTCCACGTGGAATTATTGCGTTAAAACTCTGAAGTAATGAACTTACATGTCTGCCTCTAATTTTTAAAATAGATTTATTCGCAAAGAAGAGTGTGGCAACTGAATTTTTACACCGTGATACTTATGCTCGAAATCAATGTCACTGAATATTTTCTGAAACAACTCTATTTTTAAGATGCGAGTGCCAAAGGCTCGAGAATTGCCAAACCCATATCTCTCCTGCCTTTGGAAATGACACCAGCTCTGACATCATGTTCTCCAATACCAAAGATGCTTTCCTGATGACTCTACTGACAGATGGTTGTGAAACCCCACATCTGTCTCCATCGTCAAGCTACACGTTTCCAGTTGCATAAAATCTTAAGGCAAGACTCATCTGAATCACAGACGGGATGAAGTGGTTAGTGTGCGATCCTTCCAATTCATGATGCAACGTGTCAACAACGAAGCAAATCCCCGGGTGGTGAAATCTGAATCTCCGCTATAGCTCCTCATCGTCGTACACATCCAATGGATTGGTTCTGTCTCGAAATACGCGACGGTCAATTTCAGTAGTACGAGTTCTAGCAACTCGCATGAAGGCAGTCATATTGGGAAAATGCCTTTGAAGGGAACTTAAGGCAAGCAGAGAGATGTCTTAATTTAAGACTCGTTGATAGTAGATTTAAGCAAATGGCTGAGCATAAGATGCTAATAGAAACTGGAAGGAACTTAAGTGTCATGCTGAGACGTTCTCTTAAGAAGTTTCCGTATCTTAAGGCAAGAAACATTGCTTAAGCAAATAATAGAATACGGCCCCAGATCCTTTTTCTTCGTGGCTGAAGTGAATCGTGATGAAGTCGTAAATGAGAGCACATGGACAAACGAAGAACAGAGAGCCGGTATCCCTTAAATCGATCATTACCTTTCTTCAACCCCTTCCGGCGACAAAATTCAACCGTCTCGTCTTCCTCTCTGAGAGCATCAACATGAACGAAATTTGGCATTCATCTTCCTCTCTCAACACAGAATCACTCCAGCAAATTTGAAGCTCCATCTCCCCGGGGTTGTGGAGATTACTAAATCTCGATTTTAGGAGATGTCAATTTCGTTCCGGTATTAATTTATCTATCCCCCCCCCTTACCCCTCCGGACAGCCGCTCCTGGGAAGTTTTCGGAGGGAAGAGACCAACCAAACGAAAGATATTGATTTGTAGGTGACAAAAATGTCCTTTTTGTTGCTTCCAGTGCACCATTTCGCCATTTAAAAAAATGAAATTAGTTGCCGTTTATTTAGGCTTAGCGTGATGGCTTCGGTCCCGTCCTCCAGTGTTGCCGGATATCGTGCCATAGTTATGCCAGATTCATGACTTCTGCGGTCTTAGTGTCGTTGTCAGGATCTTCTCTTCTTAATGTAGGAGACATTATTGTGTTGAATTCATGGGATGAGCTGAGATCAAAACGGTGGTTTGCAGTGGCCATGGATTTGATGGAATACGGAGATATCTTATCTGGACATCCCTAAATTAACATGATGGCGGCCAGCTTGTCTGTCATGCTTTGGTAAGGCATTTTCTTCTAGGAACGAGTCGAGACGGTTCGAGGAACCCCGGATAGGCCCAATGTTCCGCGACCGCTCTGAAATGGCTCATGAAACTCGAAAAAGACTTACATTCGGTCTAACGTTACACGTTCTCAGTAAAATGGGCCATGAGAGACATGGAGAGGGCCATGCGAATGGCCTAACGTTACCCGTCCTCAGCGAGGTGTCTCGAAGACCTGGGATTAATCCTTACAGGTCCAATTGGTCCGTAGGTCGAGGAATGAGTTTCTTTTGAACGAAAAAAGGTAGGTCTGCCTGACCCAAATTCAGTCCGTTGGTTAGACCTAGGCCTAACGTTAGTGAGTTCCGTAGAGAAGGGGAGAAGGTTGGGGGGAGGGAGGGGGTGAGGTTGAGGTTGAAGAAATTAAAATCTTTAAAAATTAGTTTTCACATCACTAAATACAGTAAATAAAAGCACGATTCATTGGCGCCAAAGCTTTTCAATAATTCGAGAAGTGAAGAGAAATTGAGAGAAATTCAATTTCCTTGATCTCACATCAATGAAAATCGACTGAGGATTTTGCTTCGCGGACGTTGGACGATAATCAGATGAAAGAAGAGACCTTTCAAATGGCTTCACACATTTCCATGCACAGACGACCTTTGAAGGTATGGAAACGAGGGAAAACCAATGAAATTACGAGTGAAGTTAGCGGAAAGGCAGAGACGTACTGGTTGAGGGTTTCTTTTGCTGTACCTTGCATTCTTTGCAATGATGGAATCACGCTTTTCAGACAGCCTGCTGTTATTTTATTCATCAAAATAGAAGTTTTGAGGCAGTTCCCTCTAGCTCGATGAAAAAGGCATGAATATGTGGCTCTCTAATAAAACCACAAAAATGTGTGAGATGATGAAACTCCTGTTGCACTTCATACATGATCCATTCATAGTAATATGAAAGCATTCATTTCGAAGACTTTCCCCCCCTATTTACCCCATTAAGACATTAGACGACGGACGTTCGGACTCACCACTATCCCAGACTTACCTTTTACCACGAGGAAGACAGCATGCGAGGTCTCTGACGGGCTTGCCTCGAGTTTCTTGAGTCCTCTTGACTTGAACTCTGCGGACGGACTGCCCCACTGCCTCCGAAGTTCAACTGAACTTTGGTTCAGTTGAACAGGACTCTCTTATGGCTACGGTATTTTCCCAAAGCCACAAGGTTTGGTACTTGCATATTCTGGGGGAAGAAAAAAAATACACGGAAATTCACATCGGCTAAAAGTGAGATCCTGTTTTCTCTACGTTGCAACGAGGTTGAGGACTAGAAGCACGTGTTCTTCGAGGGAGAAGTTCTCAGCAGATTCTGAATATTACAACGCCTCTTGCGTTGATGATGCGTTGTGAATTCTGAACAATGGTGACTGCAGCCTTGTCAGCTACTTCATGAAATTCTCAGATGAATGTTCAAGGGTTCCGAAGGGTGTGGCAACGAGATTCTTCGCAGAGTAGAAGATGCTCATGAAAGCCGACTGGAAAAGGAATCAAGGACAATTATTTGGCTTCCTTTTGACATGCGAATGTTGGATGCTAAAACAGAGAACTAATGGATTAAAACTAATTACAATGGGCTGATTCTAGAGAAGACTCTAGACTAGAGGATCAATATTTCAGAGGGAGAATTAAGTGAATCGTGAACTTCTTGAAGCACCTTTTTTTTATTTGGTTGCCATATTGGGTATTGGTGCAATTTTAGATACTTTGAGTATCAGAACTGAACTATTTCACGCAATAAGCCCTCACTTAGACATGAGCCTCACTTTCGTATGACGAATGTGTCTGTCACTGATGCTATTTTCAAGGCTGGGAGTGGCGACCGTTTCCGAAATCACCAGTTTCGCCTATTTTGACGAATTCAAACAATGTTTAGCTCTGAAAACAAGATTCCGTGACCTAATATATTCCTTTTTAGACACCAAACACGTCGTCATGGGAAGAAGGGTTCGTCGCTATTATCATGTTCAGGTAGGAGCAGCTATTTCTAAACTCGACGGCCATCCTGACTCACTTGGAATTGAGGACGACTGGCCAAAACGTGACAAGTCAGTCGTTATCCCCAATATGAAGCATGTCGTAAATTTTTGTAAGAGGAGGAGGGGGATGAATTAAAAATAAATCATTCCAGTATCACCACCACTCCCTTATAAGGCAGAGAGACAGATATCTGTCATTTTCTGGACGAAAGTGACGTCATTGAAAGTAACAAAGTGTGCCAATATGAACGAAGTGTGCACTGACTTGATTGAAAGTGCGAGTCTCCCATCAGATTCACCGTGTGAATCGTGTCGTCCTGGCAGGAAGAACGGACCATCGAGCATCGATTTCCTTGGACTCGCCGGAGATTCGCGAACTTTTTGCCTCGCAGACTTGAAATTCCTTGAATTGCTATAACAGCAAAGCGATAGTTCTCGAGTAAAAAATCACCTGGAAGCTTTGATCGATTTTCGTATCTAAATATTCCAAGATCGGCACGTTTGTTCTCCGCACCCAATACTTTGAATCGTGACTTACTTCGCCGGAAGGAGTTGTTCAGGGTCGAAAAGTCCGGCTCCGAATCGGGAAAGATCATCGGTATCCTCATATAGACTGAAAGATCATCATCACGATTATGGCACTGTAATGCAATAAGTCTTGGCAGATCCTGAGTCTTAGATGATACGGATCCTCCATGCAATTTTCTTATTCGTTGCAAGGGTCGTGCCATAGAGGTAGGCCGTAAGGGTTGTGTCCCGAAAATTGAATAACAATGGTTGTGTCCCGAAAGTTGGGTCACTAATCGGCTCATGGAGCGAAAATATCCTTTTCTATTTTCCTCTTTCCATTGATAGGCAAGGAACTGTGTCGAATACATGGTTTTATTCCACAACGACATCGGCAAGTACCTAACGGGGGAAGCGAAAGTATAAATGAATTATAAAGCGTGTGCCTCTCGTCTCAAGATTTCCTTCTCAGTTTTTCCCCCGCCAATTCACCGCCGTTCCTATGAATGCCGAAATTGTGTCTCCTCGTCCTTCCCCTCGGTGGGTCGGCGTGCAACGGATTCGGGAGAGGGTTTGCCTCTGCAGCTGCCATTCTGTGGGGGGAAAACAATGGGGAACCGCTAAAAATGGATACACTCTTTTGCGCACCGTGGTGGTCGATCGATCGCATCGCCTTGGGGTTTCGCGTTTCGTCCGCTAATAACGTACGACCGATGCAATTATTTTTCATCGCGCGGTATCGTCGCATGATATCGTGCGAAATGCGTACGTATTGCATCGGCTCCACAGTCGAAGCTGAGAAAACGCGGAAATCCGAGGCGGTGTAACGGTTCTGACAACCACCGAATACCACTAAATGAAGTAGTTCAGAGACGAGAAGATCGTTATGACAAACGTCTGGACGAACGAACTAAAAAAAAATACATGCATTTAGCATTTCGATGGAAAATGTCCATAGAATCTAGAGGCATCTATCGATTCATTAAGAATAACACTAGATGGAGGACGAAGGATAACTCGTGAGTCCTCCCCTCTCTCTCTCTCTCTTTCTCTCTCTCTCTCTCTCTCTCAGTCCCTCTCGTGATCACGCGGAAGGACTGCCTTCGAAATGACATTCAATTGCCTAAGTTTCATGGCAATTTTAAGCAACACGCGCTTGATGAGTGGCTGCAAAGTCGAAACGAATGGTTCGTGCATCGTCGTTCGGAAGCATCATTCGGACGAGAAACAGACGAGAGAGATCTTTTTCAGAGAAAAAATATGGGAAAACGGAGAGGAAGGTGGAGACTTCGCCATTCGTGCGTCCCAATGCCCGAATTTCGTCGGGATCACGTGCGACAAGGAAATGAAATCGCGTCTGTTAAGGGTGACTTCTTTGTCGGACAGCGAGCGGGTCGAAGATTGGTAACATATATTTAAGATCTAGGGTGGCCCCGAAACGGGGTTTAAGGAAAAATTTTTTGAACATTTTGCTGCAAGAGAGAAGCCAATTTTCTGGAGCCTCGCTCGAAAACCTGCACGAATACGGCCCTTTTCTAGTTTCTTCTTTTTTACGATTTCACTTTTTCTTGCCTCTATAGCGGCTTAAGTTCCTCATCTATCTAGCCGAATGGTAAAACATGAGAGGGACACAAAAAAATGATATACTCACGCGCTTCGTTTGCTCCGAAGGCTCACAGAGTCATCGAGAATCGGATGACCCACTGAGAAGTGCAGCATCGCGAGACACAGCACACTTACCTGGAAACAAAAAAATTTACATTTAATTCTCAGAAGCAAAAAATGAGAAACGAAAAGGCTACGGATAAAGGACATGGGCAAAGGATATGGACAAAGGACATGGACCACGACGAGACTCACAACGGCGAGGATGTGGAAGAACTGCATGGTGCCAAGTATTGTCCTTCTTCAACAGGAAAAACAATACGGTACTTGTTTTCCGGGAACTTGAGAATCCAATTTACCCAGCCGATTTTGGCCTCGTCTGGGATAAAGAATCCTGCGAAACGAGTCGCAACGTCCATAAATGACAGATATAAAAAACTTGAAAGAAAATTAACGCCTTCAAATGAACTATAACTTGAGCGAGCGGTATTCAACAAGTATTTGGTACTCGGTACTTCTCTCGTCTTTTCCTCGGTATATCGATCGATCGTAAGTCCAATTGCAAGATGTGACTCCCTAATTCGGTCGACGCCCTAAATCGAGATTGTTAACGATGAAAACGATACTTTAACAGGAATAGAAGCTCGAAGGCATGGAAAAGCTTTCCGCATCAAGAAAACGCGGAAAGAACTGGAAAAGAATCGCAAGCGTGGAAATAATCTGCAGGTTGAGTCATTCATTATTTTCACGAGACGAAAAATCCGAAGAGGGAAGAGTTTGGTTTTGGAATCCTCGGGTCCCGGGGGAACCCTCGATCCCGATTCCCAGTTCCTCATTTTCGCACAAAATGTTAAGAATTTGCCTATTATTTCATCGGAACGTGTTGAACTTTCCGCCGAAAAACCATCTCTTTTACATTTATGCTAATCTAAACCTAATCCCACGAAACCGATGAACGCGACTCAGCGATAAGCCTCGAATCGTGACGAGATCCCGACGCTTTCACGACACGGGGCAAAGAATCACTGTCGCGAGACGCCGAGAGATGCATCTCCTCGGACGGCTCGAGACGAAATGCCCGGCGAAACGAAGAGGCCTCCCGTTTATATGGGCCGGGTCGTCCAGTGGCTGCCCAGTGGACGTCCTTCCACCGAATCAAGGAGATCTCGGACCGAGACGGATTGCGCGGTGATGGCACGCATACGAAATCATCGCCTCGACGTTCTCAAGGTTCTCCAACTGTTTCTTTCTGCGTTTCAAGGTCGGAAAACTGTTTCTCTCGGCGAGGACTGTAACTAGCGTTAGGATGACCCGAGGCGACGGCAAGACGCTGGGGTCCTCGCTCGAAGCCGTCCATTTTCCTCCCGAACGAATTCCGTCGAATTTGGACAGGTTCCATGAACTTTTCTGCGGTTGGAAGATCGTCTCGTACGAATCTTGGAGCTGGATTTTTTTATCCGTTACATGACGCGTTCCGTTTATGCAATATAATATTTTAGTATGGAAAAAAAAGAAGGATTTTCATAACCAACGGAGGAACTCGAAGCGTTCCGGCCGAGAACTGCTGTCGTGCCAGCCGAGATGGACGCGGAGAAGAAGAAACGCCGCACTGACATCAGTCATGTCGGTCGGAATCCATTTAAGAGCAACAATGCAAGAACAGCGTGTTTCTCGGAAGCGGGACGAGGGCAATTCGTATTCGAGGGAGGATCCTCTCGATCCTCCCTCCCCTCCCGGTCCTCCCGCTGGGTTCGTCGAGCCCATATTAGGCGATGCTCGGAGAGGAAAGCGAAAGTCTCAGCGCTTCGCAGCAGCGAAGCGAATCCGGATGCTGAGCAGGTCATCGAGTCCGCAAGATCCTCGGGACGAGCGGGAAGGCTTTTCTCCTCTTTTCCGCAACAACGCAATAAGCAGCACTGATCCAAGGGCGTGGATAAAGTCGCCAGTGGTGTGACGGAGGGTGGATTGCATCGAACTGAAATACATTTGGAAGCAACCGATGCCGTGATGCTTCCCTCGGTCCCCACAGACATCGGGGCGAAGAAATAACGGATGGAAACAAACAAAGGAACGGACTCCACAACCCCCATGTCAACCGTGTCCATCATGTTCATCGTGTCCATGTCCATCATGTCCATGCGAGGAGGATATCCAGGCGAACCTGGAACCAAGGCCGTTGGATCCCGGAGGTGATTGAGACCCGCTGGAGCTGGGAAGTTCCTAAACCAAGAAAAAGTTTCCTTGGACAGGCACAAATGCCTTTTTCGTCGATGAGATGAACTTGCAGAAAGAAAAAAGTGGGACTTAGCACTTCACTCCAGCATCTCCTGGCCGGATGAAAGTTCCACCACCGGATGCCGGAAGACGAATTCACGTTACTACGTTACTCCGTTACTCTTCGTTGCTCTACGTGCAGTGAACAGACTGGAAATGACCGACCGCCGGTCTGAATCGCAAACGAGAACTGTTGGAACCACCGATGGGTCACGAAGCGTCACGATGCGTCTTCGTTGGGTAACGTCACTGTTCTTAGTCGCCTCTCCGAAATGAAAAAGTTGGAAGGACACATTCCATCGACACTGGGTGAGAAATTATTTGATTGGAAGTGACATTTCAGGAAGATAAAACACGAAATAAGACTTTTACTTGTTGAAGCAGAAGCAAGATGGAGGCGAAAACCAGGATCGTGGGCGCGAAAGTCCACATTTCGTGGTCGATTCCACGAAGAAGTTGTTCATTGTGCCCACCGTGGCTGCCGACCAGATTGTGAAAAGTGTAATCTGATAACCGTGTTCCGCTAGATGAAAATTCCGTGGTGTCCTGTCGTCGAGGATGTGAGGGGGGGCAATATCGTGCTCATCAAAAGGCAGCTCTAGCGCCTATTACCTTTCTTCAACCCCTTCCGTAGCTAAATTCAACCTCCTCGTATTCCTCTCTGAAAGTAACAAACAGCAACGAAATTTGGCATGCTTCTTCCTCTCTCAACACATAATAGCTCCAGCAAATTTGAAGTTCCATCTCACCAGGGTTGTGGAGAATACTGAATATCGCTTTTGGAAGATGTGAATTTCATTCCTTTTTTTTTCTCTCCCCCCCCCCCCCTTTCCCGCGTAGCCCCTA